TCCAACCCTAACTATTCTATGATTCTACTCCAGGAGGTGGGACTGGTTGGCGTGCCTGTTTCTGGTTACTGCAGTGGAAGCTGAGATGTGCTGATCTCAGGCCTAGGCTTTGTGTACATAACTAGATGCTATGGATGTATCTGCCATGATCAGGAAGGTATTAAAACCTAGCTTAGACACAAGGCTCTGGGTGTTCCAGCAGGAAGAAGTGTTTTTAAGTACACCCAAATGCTGCATCTAAAACCAAAAAAGAATCAGTCATTCTCCATAGTTATTCTGTGGAGAGAAAGAAACTAAATAATTATTCCTCCAAGCTAAGATGTAATGCTGAACGTCATCAGTACTGGCTTATACCTGCTTGTGGGTGGCTTTAGGGACAAGGGATCCAAGAAACTGTGTATCATCATATGCATTATTACCTATCCCCAGGAGACATATTTTAAGGCATGGCTGGATTTCAAGGGCTGTTACTCCAGAAAACAAAGATCCATATTGGTGTCCCCTTGATTCATGTTTACCCCATGAGACTACCAGTGACAGAAAGACCATCCTTTGTCTGTTCTGCAGCTGGGGCAGGTGGTCTCTTTCTGTTTGAAAAACACAGCTGATGTTCCCACAAGCTCTAAGGAATAAGGGCATTATGGAGATGGGCTGTAACTGATTTGTCTGCTTCTCAAAGGCTGATACATATGTATTTATTTGTTTATTTATTGAGGGCTGCTTTCTGCTTTCCTTTTGGAAGGCATCTTTACAAAGTTGCTTAGAAACAAAGCCCTCACGTGACACCGATGTAAACTTCCTCTCCAGTGGTTTGACTTTATTAACAATAACGTAAAGGGCTGCTCGAGCACACTTCCCATGTTTAGCCTTAAACCCTTTGCCACCAGTTTTTTTTCTTCCTGGTATACCGAGTCAGCCAAACCTAATTACTGTTTAATCAGTAAAATCAACACCTGCTAACAGGGTGGGCTCTTTTCAGCAAATAGTGCTTCCCTTTTCCAGAGGACTGATGAATTTCCAAGGGTCCTATTGTTTCTTTGTCCTGCTGATAAGCAGCTTTGACTGATAATCTGGTAATGGGTATGGTTATCTCATGCCTATAAGGCAAGAGTGGTGAATCTTCCCCTTAGCAAAGGCAGCATAACTAGGTGAGACAAGAATTATACATAGATGCTAGGAGCCAATTGTCCTGTTCTTTTCTCTAAAACTTTGGTCAACTCCAGAAAGTGTGGGTCAAAGAAGTCTGGCATGTGGGATTAAAGTCTCAGGTGAAATAAAGAGTAAGGCAGTCCATAGAAGTTCCTGGTCTTTGATCTTGCTTAAACAGCCCTCTGGGAAAAAGTAAAGTGGCAGGATTGTCTGCAGATAGGAGAGACTGGGTCTATACAGAGCCTGCAGGACCTTAGGGTGTGTCTATGCTGTCAGGTCAATGCAGAGCCAACACTTTGAGAGGTGACTCTGCACCTGTGCTGGTGATCCGCACTGTGTGAAGAGCTGTTTGTGGAAGGAGGGTTGCTTAGATGCAATCCAGGCCAGACCAGCCTCTGCTTCATGTGATCTGGGCAGATGGATCATGGACAGGATTCAAGCTCAAACTCAAGGTTTCCCACACTACCCTCATCCCCAGTGTGGCTGCTTGGAACCTGAGAAAGTGGCAATATGGACAGAAAGCAAATGCTACCATATGACTTCTAGCTCCCTCTGAGGGGGAGCACACAGATCATCCCAGGACAGACTTCTGGTGGAAACAGACTGTAGTAATCATGGCAGCACTCCTGAAAATGTCTTTCACATGTAACCTGACAGCCAGCCTGATTTTTGTCTCAGAACAGCTGAAACATTGTTAGAAATTTCAGCACAAGAAGCTCTTTACAAGTGCACTCTGCTTTGAAAAAAACTAACCCAGCCCTTTGGGTTAAAGTTTCTTACACTTGTTTTCAGCTCTAAGCTGAATGTTCTTTGCAAGTTTCACTTAATTCTACATGAATGAACAGGACAGAGAAGTAAAAACCACTGTGGTATTCCTCAAATGTTCTCACTTACGTTATTTTTGCTGGATAGAAGATTCAGCTTTGTTAAGCAGCTGTGCATGTGCCTGGTTCCATCTCTGCTTCCCTCTGCCCCACATGGTGCTGCTCCATAGGTTTGTGTATCTGTATACACAGGCTGCTAAGTAGCTGGTGTTGGTTTTGATGAAAACTATCCCCAGCTCTCTGCAATGACACTCAACCTCTGTTCTAGCCTAGATATGTTGGTTATGTCCATTATTTATATGCAAACCTATGCCTGGGCTGCAGTTAATGCTGATGACCAAAGCCCAGGATCTCCTTCCTGAGACAACATATCCAGGGAGAACAGGGTCCACCAGTCCAGTTCCCCTCTGTGTCCCCAGAGCTCAGCTCAGTCCTTCCAAGTTAGCATGGCCGGTTTGATGCTGCTGGGATATGGATGAAGATCAGGCAGCATCAAGTACCAGGTAAGCTGGAGCTTTCCTTTAACTCTGCTGCATGAGCAGTGCTTGAGTTAGCAGCTAAGACCATGCTAGTTGCAAGTTAGAGGGATTGCTGTGGAAGGAGACCGATCTTCTGGGCCTGAACACCACACATTAAGATCTGCATGAAAATCCTCATGCAGTCTGATGGAGGGGAGAGGGGTCCAGTGGGATAGAGGGGAGCTGGCATAGCTGGCTGCTGCCAAAAGGAAGGAGGATTTGGGGTATGTGGGCTGACACTAGTCCTATCCTGCAATGAGGAGGGCTTGGTCCCTGGGCCTTTGCAAAATCTCCTCCACAGTAGGGTCACTCTCAACGGTGGGCACAGCTGAAGAGTTGTCCTATCACCAGTCTGGCAGGACACCACTGCTCACACTGATTTCAGCAGCAGCTACAAATAGCCATCACTCCAAAAATCCTTGTGAATCCAAACACTTTGGTTTGGGCTGCCTCCTTTGAAAGTACTGCCCATCCTTCTGTCTGTCTGTCTGTCTGTCTGCACCAGACAAGATCCCTGGATATCTAAACCTACAGCAGCTGGGCTTCTCCAAACCAGGTCCCCCCAGAACAGCCCCCCAGATTCTCCCCCTTAACAGCTCGTGGCGCTGCTGCTGGGCAGCTGCACAGTAACAGTCTGCAGCAAATTTGGGTGAAGCGATGGCTTTTAGGACCCTGGGACCTCCGCCAAGGCTCAGGTAGGTCTGGCTCATTCGTCAGCCTCCCTCAGCCGGGATTCATTCACTCCCAGGGATGTGTGTGTGTGAGTGTGTGTGTGTGCTGAGCGCCTTTCCTTCCCCGCTGCTTCCAAGCGATGGGACTAACGCTGTTCTCCGGGCAATGAGGAGTACTGGATTGGGGCAGAGAGCACTTTCTTTTTCTCTGGAAGAAAACAAGCCTTGAGGATACTTAAGGATGTGCTGCCTAGATGTATTTCCCACCTCCACCTTCCTCATCGGACTCATGTGCTTGACAGCTTTCAGCAACTTTGCAAAGACTTCTGCGGACTTCTCAGGTAGGAAAGTGCTGATCCTTCTGTATGCTCGACGACTGCTCACGGATGGGAGCTCTTATTACAGTGTTCAGGAGCAGCTCAGGGAAAGTGGATGTGAGCAGATCTGGGGTAGTTAAGTGGGGAGTAATTTTTTCTTTTAAAAATAAGCTGATGAAAAGCATCTTCATAAGAGGATTTTGCGTTTGTTAGAAGCCTTTCTCAATAACCTTTCACAGAACTGTTTCAGCAGAGTTAGTCTGAGCAACTTTGGGAACAAGGAAATGTTACCTTGTGTAAGTTTGCAGCAGGTTTTGTGCTGTGTTCCTTTGCAGAGTGAAAAGAACTAGGTTAGGAGACTGGGAAACTCTAGGATATAGATTAAAGCTAATGTAGCGAGACCCAGTTATTTTATAATGGGCCAGGTTCCCCTCCTTTTAATGTACGGCTCTTGATTGTTGCAAAAGCCTCCTGAGCTGAGCTAAAGATGTTGCATGCACAGAATGAATTATATTGAGCCTGTTGACTTAAGCCAGGAGAAGTGTCTCATTTCTAAACAATTTCTGAATCTAAACCTGTTCATGGCGGTTGTTTTGTGTGCAGCAGGTAAATACACAACACTTTGAAAGTATGAAGTCCCATAGAAGTTTTATAAGTATGTATAGCTGCCTCAGTCGCTTTAAAATTACATTTCTGCTGCTTCTTTTTCCTGTGGATATGCATTTGGATCAGAGAATGTAATGTTTCATTTTACTGTTAAGCAGGGTTGATTAGTTTGCTGGGAAATGTCTAGTGAGGGTCACTTTGCTTTTGGGATATCAGTTCTAATTTTGGGTCTTGGTGTGAAGAGCTAGCTTGGCATATTTTTTAGGGGTGTGTTTTCAAAACTCTTGTAGTGGATAAGACCTTCCAATTATAGGTTGCTGATGAAAAAGTGTCATTTGCGAGAGCTGAACCTCACCGAACTTGGGATTCAACACATTGCAACCCTGCTGCTCGCTGCCCGGGAGTGCCTGTGTGCCTTGCAAGAGATTTGTGTTAGAAAGGAGGAACTTGTGGTGAAGGTGGGGGAGAGTATATACAGTAGCCTAAAGTCTTAATGTAAATTGAAGGGGGCTGGCTTGCTTGTGATTCAGTCTCCTTTGGAGGCAAATCAGTCCTGGGTACTGCCATTCAAGGCAGATCTGCCTCTGAATGGAAAGGACTGAGGCATCTCCCTGTTTCTTTCTAGTATTTTTTTATCTCTTTTTGGCAATGAGCTTTCTCTGTGTTCCTCCTTACAAACAAATCAGTGCAGGAGGGAATGGAGTGGGTCTGACATTAGCTAAAGCTGAAATATAGATAAACTTTATCTATAACCTTTCTATCAGCCAGGCCAAATTGCTAAGGGTTAAAATGTGCAAGTGTCCCAGAGTAAGGATACTTTGCATTGTGTATATACCACATAGCCAGAGCAGTGGAAGCAAACTGATAAATTTTATGATGCTGGCAGTTGGGGGGGCAGATGCCGTCCTCTTTAAAAAATAGGTAAGAAGGTTGATGATAACAAAATCATGTTTTCTGCAACATCTGACTGTGCTGTCACACTCTGGGAGAAGGAGGTTGGCTTAAAACCCTTGTGTATGTGCATGGCGAGGCTGAACTGTGAAGCAGGGTCTGTAATCCCAACAGCACAACCTCCCTCGAGTTTTCACAACTGTTGAAATCTTCTGCCAGATCCAAGTTACGTTTCCTGGTAGCAAGCTTGGCAAAAGTCCCCAGTCTGGTTGGAGTGACTGTACCTTGCAGGACAGGAAACATGGTTCGCTACAGGAAAAGGCTGCACCCAGTGTGCAGCAACTCAAATATGGTTTTCTAAGTTCAGGAGCTGGGTAGCCACAAGATGAAGGGGGTAGGAAAAGGTACAGCATTTCCTAAATCTTTGCTTTTTGCGAAGACCCCATTTGTCTCCCTCCAATGCTGAAGGGCATGTACCATGTGCCTCTCTGAAAGAGCAGTGGTCCAGGTAACGTTTCTTACTTGGAGAAGCACCTTGTTTGTTACTGTTATCCCTATATATGAACTGTCAACTGGCATGATGAATAGAAGGAGGGTAACCTTTTTGTTTGTTGTATAGCCTTTGACTGTGATGGTTTCTGGCCACTTACATACTTTTTCTGAACTTTAGGGTGTTTTGGGTTCTTCTCTGGCGTGGCTGGAATTGAGCAGATGAACATCTTTGGGATAGCCTTATAGCTTTACCATATACCATCCCACCTAGAGGTGGTGCATCCGAAGCATAAATTGTCTGCATTCCAATGAGATGAAAGGATTTGTATTGGTTATTGCTGCTGAGGAATGCAAGGCTTGCTGTGATCCCCTAGAGGTTTCTGTAGCAGTTTCACTGCTGCCTACATGCTGCAGGGAGATGAGACAGCTTGTTGGGATGTAAGGGCTTTTCCAGGTTGCAAATAGCAGTACCATCTAGAGAGAGCAGCTGATGCTCTTTGGAGAAGAATGTTTGTTTTTTTTAAAACTCAATCCTGTAGACTTTTGTTTAGCAAAAACAAAAACAAGCTTCTCAGCTTGCTTTGTCTTGGCACTACCAGGGAGGTGCTGCTGTCAGTAATAGGTCATGGCCTTTTCATGGTGGGCCAGGCAGAAAGCATTGATCCAACCCTGGAAAGAAACAGCTTAGGAATGGCCAGTGAGCTCTAACCAGATCACAAGAAGCCCTGATCTGACTCCCACACTGCAGCTATCCAGTAGGGCTGGCTGAAAGACTTACCAAGAATTGTACACCCAGCCAGGTCCCACTGCTCCCAGTACTCTCCCACTGGCTGGCTCTTCAGAGTGCGTGTCTCCTGGCTGCAGGAAGATTTCTCTTTTACATAGGTCACAGCAAGGCACCCTGAGAAGATTCCCAGAAGTGTGGTGAACCAAGTCTGTCATGGGGAAGCCCAGGTAGAGCTAGTGAGCTGTTGTCTCTGCTCCCAGGCCTCTGAGCACATGGTCTCACACTGTGTCTCCATCCCTCCTGTTTGAACAGCTCAAATGCCACAACGTTAACATGATGAGTGCGTGTCCTGCTGGGGGCTGGTGCAATCTGAGATGTAAGAATTAAAATTCCTTTTAAGTGAAGTATTTGAACTATGTGAAGAGTTTTGAAGTTGTTTTCTTTAATAGTTCTTTAAACATTGATGTTTGCAGGAGGATGAGAGAGTAGGAAGGGGGTCCTTGGGGAGAGAGAGTGGAGTTATCAGGCACATTGCAGCCACTTCTTAAGAAGGCCTGGACTTTTTCTCTGTGGCTGCTTGCAGTACGGGCTCTTGATCTAATTTCGTTCTATGATCAGTTCTTATGCTCAGGACTGTTTGAGGGCTTAGGACCTAGTGTCTTGATGTGTCACATACCCCTTATGTTCAAGGTGATGCTTGAAGGCTGTGATGAGGTGTGGGGAAAGAGGTTGGTCTTTTGAATCTCTGTGCTTTAACTATAAACCCTTAATCCTAATCTCAGTCCCAGCAATGAACTCTCCAAAATCCTTGCTGGTTGATAAAAATTCACCTTTGTTTTAGCCCTTGTCTATTTATTTGTGGTGGGAGTCCAAGACAAAGCAATATCCTTGCCCTGCCAGAGGAGCTATGCCATAGCTCCTCTGTGTAGGGCCTGGGAGGCAGTGTTCCATGGGCAGTGTGCAGAGCTTGCCCTTTAGAAGGACTAGGTTAATGAAAATGGGGCCAAAATTAGTCTTTGGTACTATTTAAAATGCTTAATTGAAAGCTTAGTCACCAGCTATTGCTCATATCCTGTGTGCTGTCTCTAGCTCAAGCCATGAGCTTCCTGTCTCTGAAGCTAAATCATGAAAACACATGTTGAATTCTGCTCTGCCAACCAAGGTCACCATTTGATTTCCAGCTGCATACCTGCAGGTAATTAGGCTTATGTGATGATGATGCCATGCTCCAATTCTCCTCAATAACTTTCCCATTCATTAGCTGATTTCAAGCATGTTGGACAGAAAGGTAGTGGCATCAGACCTATGTGATTGCTGTGAGTTTCATGTTAATGGAGACATCCCTTCACTACTGCTATAGTGCAGGAAAGGTTGTGCTGTGAACTCAACTGTTTGTAAATATCAGAGAATCCACTGCAGGGATCTAAGCCAAAAACATAGAGTTTTAGGCATGGAAAGATCTTTGATGGGAGCTCCTGCTTTTTCTGACACAGAAAAAAACAGCTGCAGGACATAAAGCTGTAGGAATAACAACTCCAGTTGTGCTGGTCCCCCTGGGCCTGCTTTAATGTTTGTGTTCTTTGCACTGGATTTGGCACAAGCTGGATGTGAGCAGCACTTTGCTTAAGGGAGCTTATGGGGCATCAAGCCAGATGAATACTGGTAATTCCCATTCACACCCTGCAGGTGAGCTCTGGGTCACTTTTGAGACCTCCCCCTGGAGGCTCTACCTGGCTTGAAAGCACAAATATTTTTTTGTTTTGTTTTGCTGTTTTTTTCTGTCTTTTCCCCCAAAATGGCAGGCTTCAAGTGAAAGCTGCTTTTGCCACCTCCCTGCTAATTGGCTCAGTGTGTTTGAGCTGATGAGGGCTGGAGTTGGGAGGGGAAAGGCACTTCTCCCTGATTGCATTTAATCAGTCCATAATAAAGGCAATTTGTTTGACAAGTCCATTCACCAAATTATCACTAAAATCTACATGCTAACAGCTTCTGAATGGCTAACAGCCCTGAATGGGTGGATGGTGTCAAGGGGGGTCTGGGATTTCCATGTGTTGAAAGCTGCAGCCTGTGAAAAGGGGATTTTCAAGAGAAAAACAGATACAATTTCTTTTCCAGTGAGGTGGTGTAACTCAGTAATGAGGTTTGTGCTTTTGACTCCAGGAGCAAACAGACATGCTGTAGACTTCCTTTAAAGACTAGGCCAAACCCAGGCCACCTCCATATCTTCTCTTTGTGAAGGGATCTGAGTGATGAGGTTGGATGGACCTCAGGCTGCTTGAAGAGGTCCTTGCCCCAGGCAATGTTTTCC